TCGAGTTCGGGTTCAGTTCTAAGTTATTTTTTTTTTGGGGGGGGGAGTTCGAGTTCAGTTCGAGTTCTGTTGGAGTACATTATCGAAATCAAAGAATCCTTCAAGAAAGCTCTCATCAAGCAGGGTCGATTCGTGGCTGGCGTCCAGCTGCAAGGTCGCATATTTGCGACAGACTGACTGCCATACTCTGCGGAATACGCAACGGCCACACCTTCAGCAAGCCTAACGGTCCCGAACCCAGACCAAAATAGCAGGATAATAAGCTGGTTCTAAGTTCATGCTGCGTGACCAGGTTATGCTGAGCATTGCTCAACCCATGGTTCCTTTTCCCACTTTGGCAAGCTGTCTCCATGGTAAGCAAGGTTGTCTTAGGGGCACGCAATCACCCAAATTGCATCCAAAGGTCAAAATTTGCATGGCCAACAGCTGGCAAAGACTCTCAACCGAACCCTGCAGCGTGAATCAGCCTCCTTAATAGGACCCGCCGAAGAAGGACGAACATCAGAGTTCTGTGTCTGCCTGTCTATACACTGTCATCACTTAAGTCCGTCCGCGTAAGAGCTTAATTTGACTTGTGAGAGGACAGCATCCTCCAGTGTGATTGTTCCATCCCGGTTGGTATCAAGCTCCAGGAACAGCTTGCGCAGCTCCTGCCAAGTTCTGTTAAAAGCACTGAACAAAGCCCGCATCCCCGAATTAACCATCCTGTGAACTTGCCGGAATAGATGGGAATAACAAGAAAACACCATGCTACAGGAACACGAGCAGTTTTATGTTGTGCACAGGCGGTGAAGGACTTCATCAATTCTCTGCAGATTTCGGAGAGTAACAGCACAGGTTGTAAGGTGTGTGATGCTTCCAGGTTTCTGAAGCAGTCGCAGTCCTGGGCCTGCTATATACTGATAACAATACTCATAACTGTTTGAAAGTAGTAATCATAATCAGAGTAGTAGTTCTAGTAATAGCAAGACTAATAACATTAATAATCTTGACTGCCAAGCCCGCTCCATTCTCTACACTACACGGCGCAACCTAGTCATTCCAAGTCATGTGTGAAAGTCAAAAGGCAGTGGCTTTTTGCCCAAGCAAGCTTGTCCCAACGTGCATATCAACAGTATAAGCCCCTCCATAATCCCAGCGTCCATTCCATGTCCCATGCTCTTTTCCAGTTGGTTGTCCATTACAGGGGAGATTGTGACAATCAACTGTAGGGCTGCATAGTGCTCTGGAAACTTGTGGCAGAGGATTGCTGCAAAAGCCATACAAAAAGAGCGACCATGACCATGCCAGTCCACCCATGCAGCTGCTACAAGCCTGAAAATCACATCCTGCCAAATTTACCGGGCTACCTTGGCTACAAAGTGCCATGCTTAAACGCTTATAGCTTCTCACATCGATCTGACGGTTTATGAGCGCCATCCGTCGGATGCAACCATCAAGTTGACAGAAACAGGAAGTCCCGCCCAGCCTTCATGTACAAAGCCATTCGTTCTTGTTCTGCCTGGCAACTTGTAGCTTGGCATCTAGGTGAGGAGAGTTGACACAAGGATGCCAACCTCCCAAACAAGGACATGTTTCCACGAACAGCAGCACGCTCGCTCACTTGTTGCAGCTTTTCGCACCGGTAACTAATATTCCTCGAGGCGTTTCCATCATTGAATTGTTTTTTTTGCCAGGAGAATTTGGGACGTTGAGCCCCTACGGCAGAATCTGTGACAAGGGCTGCAACGATAGCCTCTTGCACAGCAGCCTCGCATTTGCTGTTGAAGTTCCGAAAGGCGACATTGAGGGGAGTGAATTGGAGTAGCAGACAACTTGTGCTCCCAGGACCTGAATCAAGGATACACCTGTTGCTCAAGATAGGCAAGATGTTGAAATGAAGGTCTTTGCAGACCCTTCCACAGTGGCAAATGGACACTGACATAGAAACTGAGATGAAAAGCTGATAGACCTTCAGGCTCGATGTCTGCAGATCTGTCTGGGGATACAATGAGGCAAGTCGCCATCATCACCATATGCAGCTCCCAATGCTACTACGACTGCTATTTCTTCTAAAATGATAATGACGCCTATGATGTTGGCAGGGGCGAAAGCAGGAGGACCAGTAGCAAAATCTCAACGCCCAAGTCCCAAAAGCAGGCGCCCGTCCTGAGTCACCAGGTCACGATCCAAGCGTGAGAGCTCCGTGGCACCTGAGCTGCGAAACAAGTCCTGAAGCAAAAACAAAGAGAACATGCTCCAAGACTTGACGACTTGGAGATTCTTCCTGGTGTGCTTTCCAGGACTTAAAGAAGTCGATTGCTGACATGGTCGTGGCTACATGACTTCCCTTAACCACTGTGCTGAAAGACTTTCGACCTTAAGCTTCTCTTGCTGATGGAGGAACTTAAGGGAAGAAAGCGTAGGTCTCCAACTGATAGGGCTAGTTTTCAATCACATATTCTGGCTGCATGCAGAAAACTTGTCTGTACAGGTTGTGGTTGCAATCCTCTTGGCCACAGGGGATGCCAGCTGTCTCGGCCTGGAAGCTGAGCGCCTTACTTTCAACAAAGATCCCGGTGATGATGTTCATCACACCCAACACCTGAGTAAGGGCCAGCACAGCCCAATGTGCCTGGAATGCGTGAAAACCCGAAGGGCAAATTGTCGGCTTGGCCACCTAAATCTTCGCAACCTCAACACGACATGCCAGCTGCACCATGAGGGAGATGTAGAGCACGAAGAGTACGGCATAGACTTCTGATATTTCCAGCAGGGGCCTGGCAAATGGCCCTTGTCATACTTCCGCCCCTACTCATAGTGTTGTCAGCTAGTACTTGTATATTGGATTGCTTTTGGCGGGGATCTAGGTACTTATTCACGATTCTGTATACGTTTGGGTATGACCTAGTGCAAGCAAAGGTCGCCATCTGAAGACCCTGTGCAGGCCGCCATAGATACACTCCACCTCAACTTCAGTCTCAAACTTCAGGGCCAATCGAAGGAAAACTCTTGCGAAAGGTGCGCCTCACGAGATTCCACCAGTCATCGCCCCCCGTGATGGCCATGAAAAGCGAGAAGGAAGCCATGGGAAAGGAGCTGTAATACCTGGCCATGAAGCCCAAAAAGAGCTCAACAGAACAATAAGAATTTCAAAGCAAATCACATGGCTTAATAATCAACCCAGAAGGAGCCGCAACCTGGTTCTTGGAAGAAGTAATTCTATTGAACAAGCAGCAAGACTTACCCCCCAATATTCCCTCTTGAGAGTCAAAAGATCTGGAGGCTTTCTTGTTGGGCAATATCCCGCATAAAGACCAAAAAGCCTGCTGCAACTCTTAGCTACCAGCTGGGCGGAAGCTTCTGCGATGACGCTAAAGGATTCAGTCATCTCGGGATATTTGGGAGGGTCTATCAATACAGCACTATCGTGCAACAAAACATAGACCGGCGACTGTTAGGCTTTCTATTTGACCCTTTCTACCTCCCCAGGTTGGGCAACCACACACTTTGATCTAACAGTGAACTTGCGAATATGTTTCCCTCCATTCCTGGGCTGCGTCGCCAAGATATCAGAAAACCTCTTTGCCAGGTGTCCCAAGTCTCTCTTCCCGCTCTCCCTCTCCAAAATTAGAGAGAGATATGCTTACATGCATGGCTGCAGAATCTGTGCTGGCATATGTGTTTCCTGTATGCTTGCTGCTTTAGTTCTTGTTTGTGAAGAAAAAATATTTCAAGCACGAAAGCATGGACAACATATGTTGCTGACACAGTAGGGACCAATCGTGCTGGATCCCTGCATAATCCCTATATGATCTCTATATGGTAGTTTCCCAAAATTAGGGTACCCCAATATAGACCCCAATACACTATAGTCCTTATTACAGGGACCCCCCCCAAAAAGGTACCCCTAATTTTGGGAAACCCCCATATATTGCCTGTATAATCCCTAACCAGCATGGCCAAGCCACATGCGGACACCTTCGATACTCGCGTTGGAGGAGAGCGCATCGTGAATGAAGCTGGTTACCCCTCCAGCAGAGCATAGATTAGATAAGGCATGCTGTAATCTAACTAGCTGGCAACAGGAAGTGCTGGGAAAGATTGTGGATGTCGACTACTGCCTGGATTGTCGGGCTATTGCATTGAAGCAGCATGCCTTCATTGCTTGCTGAGAACCAAGCAGCGAAGCAGGTCGCTGTTTCAGGGGTCGAAAGCCGCGCAGGCTTGCATCATGTGGTTTTAAGCAAAGGTATCCTTACTGGTTCTTAATAGGGAAACATGGAATATAATCCCTATATCGTATAAGTATATTGCTTCTTCCCTGCTAACCCCCATTAAGTCTTCTCCATGGCGGCACGAGTCTCATTGATCTGATCCCATGGCTTGGGCAGGAGCAATCTGAATAGATTTGTGGCATAGGGTTTAGATTTCCGAAAAGTCCCCCGAGAAAGATTCTGCAGGCAATACGGGAGTTTCTTAAAGTTGCTCCTACAGAATCCTGAATAGAGATCCGTAATCCCAATGTATTATCCCTCGGGTCGCTAAGAGCACTCAATTTTCGAGAAATCCCCATATGGTAGTTTCCTTGAAGAGGGAGACCTCAATGTAAACCCCAAAGCACGAGAATCCTCATAATATAGGGCCCCGAAATGGTACTCCTAATTTTCGAGAAATCCTCATATCAGCGCTTCCTACAGCCCGCTTCACTGACCGAACTTCCCTTGCAGCAAAAAGCCTTTCAGGCACTGATCCTTTGCAAATTACGATCAACATATCTGAGCCATAGTCTAAATCCCTAGTATCCCCCTTAATAGCCCCTATAGTAGTCCCCTACATAATCCCTCATGTAACCCCTTTTATTAAGGAGTTTAGACTATGTCTCATCTAGGAGCCTCTGGTGTAACAGCAGCCCTTACCTCAAAGCCTCAAAGCACTGTAGTAGACAGACATCCCGGGAAGGGCAACGGCTGTGTAACTTTTCGCCCCCAAATATTCACCTAAATCCTGTTAACCCTCCACTCCTGGTCCATAAACCTCAAAAGCTCAACTCTCAACCCTAAACCTAAAGCCGCAACCCTCTGCCCTGAACCTTGTAATACCCTACAACCTCCACCCAACCCATCTTCAAGCCAAGGCGGCCTTGAAGGAACACGATACTGAAAACTCCGATGGTCAGCGCAAGGAACACGATGGCCCAAAGCAGCGGCGCTATGGAATTCATGATGGACCTTTGGGCTACATAGAGGTTATGTTGGGGTTATATGGGGATAATGGAAAAGAAAATGGAAACTACTATAGTATATAGGCTATATAGGGTTATATAGTGGAATTCATGATGGAGCTTTGGGAGGATGTAAGTTGAAGTGCACTCGTGATGGACCTTTGAGAGGACGCGGGGAGGGTCCCGCTTCTTGGGGTCTCCATGAAGAGGGCCTTAAGGGTCATAGCTTCGGCTCTACATTGAGGCCCCCTGTTTCCAACCCTACGTAGGTTCAACTGGGTTCTACGATTGATGGCTTAGAGTTCATGATGACCTTGGGATGGGTCTTGAGGGCTGGAAGGGCAGGCTATGGCAATGGCGCATGGAGTTCATATTAGCGCTGACAGGTCATGATGAAATCTCTCCACACTTGGCCTTAGCAGCTGCCGTCGTAGACTGGAATACAAAAGCATGAGGGCCACTATATGGATCCATTCCTCGATTGCGTAGAAACCACCGCAGTAGCTATAGAGCCCAAGTAAAGAATGGGAAGCTCACCGGGACCCAGGCAGAAGCATCACGCGTAGCTCACGGAAGAAGCGGAGGACCCGGATGATTCGGAAACTCCTGATTGGGATGGGGGTGGTTGAATGAGCTTTAGGGTATATATTGGGGCTATATTGGGATAATAGAAAATAAAATGGAAACTACTAGGGTTTATAGGGATTCTATAGGGTATGTTATGGTTTATTATATATATATATAGATTTTCGTGCTGCTGCGGGGTTTGACTCCGCGCGGACTGTGTAGTTCTTCGCAGGCGGGAGTCCCATGATGAAATGTCATTTCTGGGGGAACTAAACTTCAAGATTCTCTCAGAATCCCTTGTTAGACTGCATGAAAACTGTGTAAACCCCAGGCAAGCACAAAGAAAGATGCTCCAAATGAGCCAGTTCTTTAACATGGTAGATATCGGTTCCAGCATCATCCGACCTGCATGGGGCTATGGAGGCCTGGCAACATCGCCTGCTTGGAGCCAAACCTCCAACCCCAATCTGCTAAATCTTGGAAGCTTAAAACCACGGCCGGTGAATCCTTTCATTACTATGTTTACCACTCGTACCAGGATTACTGCCATCGCTACTAGGTATTACTATTGCTCAATATTACCCTCACAGCAAACCCTCAATGGATTGGGTCCCCTTCCATGCCCCAAAAGAAGGCCCTGGCATAGAGCAGAACAACGATCACGATTTGGACAAGCCCCTCAACCCTAAACCGTAAACCCTAAAGTTAAGGCCTAAACCCAATAAACTGATCCCCTCTTCCATTCCTAGAAAGATCGTGAGATGAGCCCTGGATTGTGTGAACCTTTTTTTAACCCTCACCCAACCTTAGAGCTCGAAGGAGCCGCAAGAGCCGGATGTAGCCTGATGAGCTGCGCTCATAAGCTGGTTGTTAGTAGGGAGTGAAGGAATGGCAGAGGATGATTATTACTACTGTAGTTTTGGGCATTCCAATAGGGATCCATTCCATTCCCTCCCAACCAGTAAGATTAATCATCTGGGTTGCCACAAACTATGGGTCTGTTACAGCATATTATAGTATACTTAGAACTGTGCATAGGGAGTAGAACACATCAAAGCATGTAAAGGGACCCCTATCTCTGATCCACCGAGGCGGGGCAACTGGCGTTTTTTTGTCGGTTTTCGGGTCTGCGGTGGCTGCTGGGTCTCGCCCATAGGAGCCCCCCCAAATCTGAGCCCAAAACCCAGTGTTTAGGGTTTGGGTCTTAGAAACAAGTTCGCGATTAATGGCGTATGACTGGGTTGTAGTTAATGGAGCTCAAATGGAAGAAAACACAAGTGGAACGTGAAAGGGGAACTGCCTTACAGGATTTTACATGGCTAGGGGGGGTTGTATAGGCTCGGGAATGGAACATCACATCGAAAAAGCAGGTGGAATCTGAAATTCGGCGTTCGGGGTGTATAATGTTTTTTTACCGAATGGGGGCATGGAAAAGTGAGACCAGGGGCCCACAGAATCTGTCCAATCTGTAGCATTACACTATGAGTTACTTTGTGCGCCGGTTTTATAGGTCTCGCTGCAGAGTTTGTAAGCCATTTCTATGTCATTTGACCAGCCGCCCTATCCGTATGATTGAAAAACTCTCTGCAAAGATTTTATAGGGGAATGTCTGGCTGGCCAACACTTCCCAGAGCACACCTACGTGGCTAATGAAGCACTCCGGCGTCCCGCGAGTGATATCATAGAAGGGAGGGTGGTGTGTTGCTCTGCGAACAAGCCCCGTGCGGGCATCTAAAAAGACAGACTGCGCAGACGGTCTCTGTCTCCCGTACTTCATAATGAAATGGGGCGCTGGCTCACGTCCAGGCCAATCAACACCAGCACGGTATCCGTGAGCATGGACAGGACCTGGGCGCTTCAAAGTTATGCAGAACTGCACGCAGAAGAAGAAGAAGAAGGCTACCATGGTCTGCTGTGCAACGCGTGACCTGTAAAAAGTCAGCCCGTGCCGTCTGAGCGGGCATACCATTGAACAATAGAAGCTCAATCATGGGTTTCAAAGAACAGTAGCAGGGTAGCTGCACAGAACAAGCTGAGGAGCGAGCAAGCATTGTGTCAAACAGATTCCTGGGTTGCGCAAAGCTGCAAATAATTGTATACCATAGTAGTTTCCAGGTCATTCTCCATGTTATTTTCCATTGGATTCTCCCTATAGTTTACCCCATTATAGTAGTTTCCATTTCCTGTTCCATGTTCTTTTCCATTTTCCATTGGACAACCTTCGACTCGGGTGAAGATCATGTCACAAGCTGAGCTTGTAGCCATCGCCACTCAATACCCACCCAGAAGTACCACTCCTGATCAGAGACATGGTTTACGCTTAGTAGCCCATGTCTCCCTTTGATATCTTCGATGAGAGCTTCTGATTCGCCCGAAGAACCAAGGCAGTAAATGTCTCGGACGCAGCTCCACGTCGCTCTATGTGCCCTTTGTTGTGTACCGGGTAAGATGATTGCGTACATCGGGGATCTGCCAAGCAAAAGCTGAAGGCAAAACAGGCCTCTGCGAGAATGCGCAGTAAGAGCTCCAGCGTGAAGAGGCTTGTGAAGCCAATGTCCATGACCTCCTGCCTCAGCAGATTGAAAGTATAATGCTCCAGGATTCTGCCAGCTCAGGGCCCTTAACCATGTGCTGACCAGGCTAACCTATGGACTTTGTACGTGTGCCAGAGCCACTTGACAGATTTGAACTCTGACCAAGCGCCACAAGGACCAAATCTGAAACTTATGTGACATGAGCTCAGTAGTTTTCACTCATTGCCGTGAAGCAAATTCCATTATCCGTAAGTGGAATTGGCCGGCGATTTGACGTTCAAGAGGGTCTTGTCGGGCGAAACATGACATCCACGACCTTCCGCACTAAAGGTTCCCCATAAGTCATCTTGAAAGCATGAAGCTCAATTACCTTGCAACTCAACACTAAAAAGGGCATGCGAGCTTCTATCCCATACGGAATAATGACAATGCAGAAATAACAATAATGGCATGCTCTGAGCTGGAAACCCGCTTAAGAGTCCTGGCTTTTGAAATCTTCCAGGAAGGACCTCTCCCAAACAGCTTTTCCGAAAATTGATCTGCGCAACGCTTCATTGGTTTCTCATCTGTTTTTTTTGGGGGGGGAGGGGTGGGGGTGTGGTTGTAACATCAACAACTTTAAACCATTTCAAACCCATGTGAGTCTGAGGAAGGAGCCAGACCGGAGGCGAAGTGGAACTGAGGTCGACTCCTGTCTCTCTGGGGAC